ATATTTCTTTATTAGTAGTCAGTTTAATTCAATTTCGTCAAAACAAGCTCAAAAACATCGGTAATGTATTATTGGCTCGCAAGTCAATACTTCAACTCATTCACGGAATACGTATTCGTTCGACTTTTCAGAGCTTAGTGTGATGTCCATTTTCGCTGAAGTAGTTTATCCTTAGTGACTGGGTATGAGTGGAATAGCAAGTTTATTGTCCCCCGAGGTGCAACTATTGCCCTGAGGCGTAGCCGAGGGCAATAGTTGTATCCGAGGGGACAACAAACTTACTATTCCACGAATATCCAGTCAATAAGTGTTTTATTATACTGAAAGAGACAACTAACAATAAATTCGGGGCTAAATCAAATATCGTAATATGAAAAGCAGAAACACAACCATACGGTTTAATTTGTTACTTCATACATATTCTAAATTCTAAGGCTACGTTCCGCATTGACGTCAACCCTAGATACAATAGGTAAAACGCGACGTCGTTACTCCCGCGGTATTCTCAACATCCTCCAATCCCGTAGCTGCAGTTGAAATTCCGCGAAATATAATGACGCTTGCGGTCAAATAATTTCATCGAGGGCAAATAGTTGGAAACTATTGACCGGTCAAATATTTCAACGCTTACAATTTGAAAAATAGTGATAATATTTTGTACTTATTTTATAAAGAAAATGATAACTGAGGTATAATAATATACATTATTGCTTACGGGCCAGCTGAAGCCTGCCTCCGGGTGTGGGATTTTCTCGCCGTGTTGAAAACCCATGAGTGGCCCTGGGCTGTTTTCATCTCTTTGGTCGGGTTGTTGTCTCTTTGACGCATTTCCTGTTTCCATTCTCAATTTTATTTTAATTCAACCCTCATGTGGAGATGGGTTACGCATGTTTAAAGCATGATCAGATATTAAAACGAAATGAATGTCAACATTAGAAAGGAAAACTATGGACCCCTCCCGGAAGATCCATTTCTTTGACTGATTATGTACACACAAAAACTCATTCTTATTCAGGCCAGGAACATATATTTGGACTGATAGATATACTGTTCCCAGTTCAGGCAAAATAATAAATTACATATATTTCAATGACATGAAATTAAAAAGAGCTCGAAATATACGATTCCACGTGCCTGTCAGTATATTTATATCTATGTTCATGTTTTAGAGTCGTATAACAGTTGGCTATCTTCAGAGGTTATCTCGATGGTAAGTAAGATGGCGTCAAGTCTAAATACACACGATAGGTTGATCATTTCAAAACATTAAAACGAGTCCACCATTGTAAATTGTTTCGTTTGGAGTTTTTGTAATTTGGAAATACCTTTGAGTATGTTATAAATCAAAAATGAGAATTTAATTCAGATCGGTAAGTTTATAAGATATTTTATCTAATGAAGAAGACATTTTATTCAATAAATAAGACATCTCTTTTGATATATGACATATCTGATAAAGTATATAATGTATCTTCAAATAAATAAGATATCTTATAGAGAATACAAGATGTTTCATATACTGTATAAGATATCTTATTTGATTTATAACATATCTTATATAGTTTATAAGATAACTTTTAAAATAAATAGGATATCTTTTAAACTCAATAAGATATCTTATAAGCTAATTATAATATCTTATATAACCTAAATAATATATCAAATGAACTTAAAAGATATCTTCATAACGGTTTAATAAGATATCTTATTTGAAACATAAGACATTTTAATCTATATATAAGATATTTTATCTAATTTATACGATATCTCAAATAGTTTATACGATATTTTTTCACTGAACTTTATAAGATAGTTTTAATATGGAATAAATGTATACGGCTGACCATACGCCACAAGATGTGGCGAAGGGAACATCACCATCTAAAAGAGGGATGTTTGTTATTTGTTTCAAGCACAGGATCAAAATAAAAGTTGTTAAATTTCTTCTGGAATTGAAAAATTATAGAGTCTATATAATATATTTAAAATGTTTTTGAACAAGTTTACATATTTCATATTACATAATATTCGTCATTACATGTTGATGTTAACGGCATTTTGATACAAAATACAACAATTTACATGTTTTTGTAACCATTTTCTATCTTTAACAACATATTGAATTTAATGAAAACCTATGAAATATCTTTTGAAAATAGGAATCTAAAAATATTTCTGAGTACGTTTTTCATCTATTTTATTGGACGTTCTTTACACAATGTGCATTAATTTTTTTCATTCTCATTGATTCATATTTAACCATATAAAATATTAAATGAAATATTTATTTCTCATTTTTAATTGAAGTTCAGGTCAACGTAGTCATGTGAAAATCTGTGACATCGCCCAGTTTTTAGCCTAAGTGTTTATTTAAAATAAGGGTTAACAGTAAGTCTTTTGTGGGATTAAGGACACAGCAAATCTATTGCTTTCTACAAAATAATTGGAACCCATTGAACAAAATGCTTACCTTAATTGTTATGAGATGATACCCCTCGAAGAGGATACAATGAGAGGATTTTCTTATCTGCCAGTGCGTGTTAATCTCAATTTTGTTTTGATGGCTTGGTACAATTTTATAGACAAGGTTCGTGGTAATTAAATTGGGATTAAATATGAACATAAAACTGAGACTAATTGCTAAAAATGAACAAATATCAACAGCGAATGACTAGCGGATTTTAACGATATCATTTTTCAAATAGGCGTTTATCATATATAATTTTGCGCTTTATTCGTAAACCAGTAGAAACATTTGACCATCGTTAACATACTGATTATTTGGAAGTGCTTGTCTACCAATTTTATTCCTGCAAGGAGTAGATAAGTTGTTGCAATCATATTTCCACTTTTTTAGATTTTGCATTGCTGATAATCTTTCCTGTTATAATTTTCTGCTCATCTTTCATAATTTTCATGATTTAAGGCAAAAATGCTAAAATCAGTTAAAAAAAATCGTCATTTGTGAACAATATCTCCCTATAGAGCGTCAATCTATGAGGGTTTAGATGGGGTTTACGATATATGTCTGAGTTTTGACATATTTTTCCAGGCATTAAAAACATCATCCCAAAATTTATTTTTTTGATTTTTTAATGATTCCAAAATAAGCCAACTCTGTAAAATTTATATTTTGTGTGGAGGTGAATAGTTGTATCCATTTAGATTTTGACTTAAATAATCTTCTTACACAAGTAAGTTTTAACCCTTGTATAAAATTTCTCAAATTAATCATGTTTAGACCCCCTCTGTAGTATTCTTGACATAGAAGATCCCGGTATATCTTGTCATATCATATTTATACAAAACTCTGTCGACATGTTTTCGAGATTTTGCAATTTTAAGCCAAAGAACTTTTTATCTCCGCTTTGTACTTATAATAATAATAATAATAATAATAATAATAATAATAATAATAATAATAATAATAATAATAATAATAATAATAATATCTTTATTTAGAGAGAGTAACTCATTTGGATTACACCAATTTTCAATAAGGCTCTCTTAATACAATAATAATTACATTAAAATAAACAATACATATTCAATAATAATGATAAATAAAGATGTAATACAATTTGAATACATTAAACAATTATTATATATGGCATTACAGTACAAATATCATGGTAATGTTAAAAGTACATAGATTTGTAGTTATGTTTAAATTTTAATACTGTGTTTGATTTTTTAATTGAATTAGGAAGAGCATTCCATACTTTTGGTCTATTGTACGAGAAACTAGACCTATACAGCTCTGTATTTGGTTTTGGAATTATGAAATTATCTGAAGACGAAAATATCGTATTGTATTTTTAGTTTGCAGAAGCTGATAAAATAAGACTGGACATATATTCTGGAGCTAAGCCATGTTTTGCCTTATACATTAGTAATGATTTATGATAATGTATTCTTTGTGTAATCGGCACATTGTTACATTCGTGAAATAATTCGCTTGAAGGTTTGGTGTAATCATGTTTGTCTAAAATTATTCTTGCTGCTTTCTTTTGCAGTTTTAGTAAACTATCTAATAGAAAGTTATTACAGTTTCTCCATGTTGAACAACAATAATCTAAGTGAGGTAAAACGTAAGCGTTATAGAACATTTGTAGAGCTTTTGCTAGATCTAGAAACACTGCTTTGACAAGATCGCCATCATTAATGGCTTTAAGCCATTTATCCAATAAAGCTGTTAACGCAGTTTGACAAGAATGGTTTGCGCGAAAGCCTGACTGCATTCAATACAATAAGTCGTATTTATTAAGATACTTTACTAAGTGTGTTTTACATGTTTTCGAGGATTTTAGAAATGAGTGGTAAAATTACAATTGGTTTGTAATTAAAAACATCCTGTTTTGAACCTTTGTTCTTATAAACTGGTATGACTTTTGCTAGTTTAAATGAAGATGGAAAAATACATTTTTCAATTTTTAAGTTAAAATGTGACAAAGTCGTAGTGAAATAGCATGAGAAGACATCTTTAAAAACTTTGCACTTATGTTATCAAGACCTGTTGCTTTTGATTCATCTAGTGCTTTTAGCTTTTAGTTGTAAACACACAAAATCATTACTCATAAGTGGTATAGATAAATACACGTTATCTGGTACATGACCTGATATGAAATCATTAAGTTTGTTAAAAGAACTATTGTTGCTGTTTTGATTTATATTAAGATTATCTGTGATATTTGTGAAATAAGCATTAAATACATCAGCAACGCTTTTCGGTTCTAAAATTTCCTTTTTGTTACAATCACTTATGATTATAAACTCTATATTATATTCTACAAAAAAAAAAAAATAGATCTGTTTTCCATTTTTCAAATTGTTTTCATCTATGGGTGTACAAATGCGACATATATCAAATGTTCGATATTTTTTTTATCTCTTAATACTTACACAATTTCATATAAATTCGAAATACTGCAAAATTATATATATATTCTTCGCCGATCTTTGCCTTTATCCATTTTTTGTTGCGTCATAAAGATAGGAGACGTCATATAACGTTACCTAGAAGCAGGATCTTGAGGAATGAGGGAACAGACGAAAGAATGGCGAAATGGGACTTATCAGTAACGAGACTTAACAATGTACTGGCGTTAAAGGAGAAAAATGGCGGTTGGAAACCAGATAAAACTAACTTAAACATATTGGAAACAAAAGGATTTATCATAGGAGAAATTGTTGGAGAGGGGAAGTATTCAAAAGTAAAGAAAGCATTCTGCACCAGTACCAAAGAAACAGTTGCAATCAAAATTATTCACAAGTCCCGATTGCGCCCAGCAGATTGTCAGAAGTTCATCCCAAGAGAATTAGAAATGTTGAGAACATTGCAACATCCTGGATTGGTATTCATATTTATTTTACCATGTTGTACACTAAGAACTCGCAATTTGATATCTAATACATTTTTATCTGTGTGCAACTTTTCCCGAAATCCCAATGATTGAACTTGATTTTCGTTCATGCTTTAAAAATCGCAACAATTAATGCACGCAATAATTTCTGTATTTCCAGTAATCAAAAGTGAAGCTATTTATTGAAAGTTAGAAATATTTTGTATCTGAACATTTTTATTTTCATGTTCGCTTTTTTTTTTTTCTAATCATTTAGATTTATCCCCTTTTCTGATTTGAAGTTTTAAAAAATACATTTTAAGGTTTGCGCCAGAAAGTAATCTACGGAAGCGTATTGGCGCCACACAATTTTTTTTTAATATTTTTTCCTATGTTTGCGTTATAACGCAAACCTTTGCGAAATAACGCAAACACTTTGATTTTAATTATTCATTAAGTTTTGAATATTTAATAATAAAAAACTATATATAATATTAAATTTACATTTTATGTTTATTATATAATTTGAAAGCAGTGTTTTGTAAATGTCGGCATTTGCATGTCCGTCTGTCTCAAATTTCGGTTGTGATTTAGTTAAGAGAAGAACCATGAACACAAGGCCAAATCATTATAATAAATATGCATAGAAATAAAGGAATACTTGAAGTGCAATTATACACAAATTAAGAATGGTTTTTGCATCAGAAAATTATATTAATTTAACAAGTAAATAGATATGGTATAGGCAAATTTTAATTGAAAGGCCAAGATTTTGAACATTTTGAATAGCGGAAAGTGGTAAACTAGATAAGAGCAAAAATAATGTCATACAATTGTGAAACTATAAGTCAAATAGACAAAATAATCTTTCTGCTTTAAAATTTATTATTCAGAAAAAAACATTTTTTTTTAAATTTTGATGTAAGAAATCGTTTGTTGAAATCTCAGAATATGATAAAGATTCTTTAAAAAAAAGTCATGGAATTTTAATTTCAATCTAGTGAGGTAGCTATTTCAGATGCTTGGGTGGCAATTTGAATGTAGAGAACATAATTATAATAAAATAACATCTTCATCTTATACATTTTTGGAAAAAGGGTAGCTTGTTTGAATCTAACCAATCTTACACAATGCTCAAACGAGCGCTTACTTTGGAAGTATATTTAAATTCGGCTACACTAGCGGGGTTGATTTTTTATTTTCTTCGGTATAACTTCAATTTACTCAATTTTCTTTGTAATATATATATATATATATATATATACATGTATTATCCTGCTCATTATTATCCCATGATGTGTGCTAAACACTCAAGCATTTTACATTGCAATGAGTACAAAGGGTGATAAATTTTAATATTTGCAGCCTCCTCCACAGCTGCTTCCTTTGAAACTTAAATAAGAAATAAAATAAAACAAATGTTTGCGTTATTTCGCAAAGGTTTGCGTTATAACGAAAAGGTTTGCGTTATAACGCAAACATAGGAAGAAATATAAAACGTGTGGCGCTAATACGCTTCCGTAGTAATCAGTAACAAGTTACTGTTTTTCTGTATTTAGAAGAAGAAGAAGAAAACAATCTCACTAAACTTTAGACTTTCGTGATAGAGGGATTGACCACACTAATAGATGTTATCGATTGGCTTTTTCAATCTATGGTTGAAACCTGACCACCTGTAGTGGCCGCTATGTTGGATCTGTTACTTATTTTGTTACTTTTTGTACAAAATTGTATAGAAAAGATATTAATATCATATTCCTCAAATCATATTTCAGAAATACGCAAGAATTATAGCAATTCATAAATCTAGATATCGTTGACACAAAATAAATTGGCAATGTATTGGATATTTAATTATACATACAAATAGGAGGCATATGGTGCGTATCAATAAGACAACAACTCAATAGTATACTAGAAAACATAAATAGAACTTACAGTCTTCCACAACAGACCTGCAAGTGAACTCTTAGATTGAATCCCGACTCTAGATAAATTAAGAAGATGTAAAAATTTGAGGAGCAAGAACATTTTTGACATTTATCGAAGAATATATAAAAAAAAACGGTTGTTATGGTACCCGATTATGCGAATAATTCAACATCAGAGGATTTCTAAGGCAAAAATACAGTTTCGTAAGTTTTTCGGCGACTGTTAAAAGTTTTGACCCCCCCAAAAAAAGAAAAATGGGAGGGGGAAATGCTACCTTGCCCTTTGCTCTACCACCTATTTGAGCACTGTACATGTTATCATTTTTATTCTTTTTCAGTTGGATGTCATGCAATTGTTTGAATGTGACCGAATGTTTTACATCACCATGGAATACGCACCAAATGGAGACTTAACAAATTTCATAAATAAACTTGGTTGTTTAGGTGAAGCAGATTCACGACGTTTTTTCAAGCAACTGCTGGATATTGTTGCTTATCTCCATGAGTGTAAAATTTGTCATCGTGACATAAAATGTGACAATATTCTGTTGGATAGATATTTTAATGTTAAGCTGGCAGGTACGTCTCTAACAAATATTAAATCTAAATAAATTATTTGATACAAACTGACATATTATAATTAGTTTGTATTATTTTATAACTAAACTACTTTTATTAAGCAACTATGTTTTCTCATTAAATAAAAATCATATTTGTAGAGCATTATGGAATCTTTTGAAACGTAGTGCATATAAGTTAATATGTATTCAGGTTTTGATTATTTTTTGCTGTTTTGTATTTACTATAATACGCAGTAAATATTTTACACTAAGGGCTTGTATAAAACCAAAAATAATACATTTGACTATATTTTTTTTTTCACAGCTTCTCATTCAGTTCTCATTACACATTGAATAAATCACAAAAAAAAAATGTTATCGAAAGTTTATTTTATAAACTGATTATTTTATTTCATTTAGATTTCGGTTTTGCGAGGACTATGCCAAGCAACAAGTTGCTGGAAACCAATTGTGGTTCTTATGTTTATACGGCACCGGAAGTTATGGATGGCAATCACTATGATGGAGTCGCAGCCGACATATGGAGCATGGGTAATAAATAATACACAAAATGTTCTTTTCCAAGGATTTATTGCACTGCAAGTTCGCATCAAAAGAAAATTATATACATATAGTAAAACTGACCTTCCAATCTTTTCAGGAATATACATTCCCTTGTTTGAATTTTGCGGGGATAAATCATAACAATTTGCATATATTTCCCCAAGACAAAAATAAAAACTATATTTTATACAATATTTATATATTTAAAAGTAAAATAAAATTTGCTTTGAATAAGTTTCAATATACATGAGAGTACTCTTAGATCTGTACCTTGTGCATTTTGTCTTTTAGTCTTTCTGTTAGTTGTTTTTTTGTGCTTTGAGTCGAATTGATGAGTCAGGCCTTTTTAAACTGATTTTTTACAGTTTGTTCTCAATATCTTATACTGTTAAAGGTAAGGAGGAGGGTTGAGCGCTGCAAACATGTTGAACCCCGCCACATTATGTATGTACCTGTCCCAAGTTAGGAGCCGGTATTTGAGTGGTTGTCGTTCGTTGCTGTATATATTATAATTGTTTTTCGTTTATTGTTATGAACATAAAAATAATTGATCATAACTGTATCGTTAATGACTGTATCGTTGGGTTTTTCATTTGAAATTGTGTCATGCTGGGTCTGTTTTAGCTGACTATACAGTATGTTTTTTTTTCTCATTGTTGAATTCCGTACAGTGACCTAAAGTGCCGTATTGTTGCCTATAATAGTTCTTTTAATCCACTTCATTTGGACTCTTGGATTGTTGTCTCATTGGCAATCACAACACATGTCCCTATTTCATATTCAGAAATAAATGACGGTTTGTTTATTGACAGTAGTGATTTTAGAGTTAATGCTTTAAACTACAAATATGGGACATAATTGTTTTCGAGCCCAATAGTCGTCCAATTAACTGTGAACCGCATCGTTGGTCTTGTGGTAACGTGCTGTCTCCAACTCGAGAGGTCGTGGTCAAACCAATTGCTTTAAAACTGGTATTTGCAGCTGCTCCTCTAAGCACATGGCATTTAGGAGTAAGAGCAATGACAAGAAGGCTTGGAGTCAAAATAATGTGTCCGTTACGGTGACACATCTTCCAGAGCACATGAGATCACTCTGGACTAGCTTTGATTAAAAGGGGTTAGTTTTGCCCTTGCTTTAGTTTTTTAAATGTTGTTTTTGCGCTTTTTATTTCGTGAATTGATGTAAAGTTTATATCAGTAACAGTCTTGTCTATCTTTTGTCTATCTTTTGTCATGAAAAAGTTTCAATTCAAAATTTCACATTCGGTTAAGTTTCAGGGTTAGAAAATTTACATTTCCGATGGTTTATGAAATGATGGATGTCTTAGGATTGGATTGCGTGATGCCTAATCACTTGCTGAATGCCTTGTCAACATATAATATAGGAGTAGCACGTCAGGTGCACATGTGGAGCATTATCTGCTTACCCTTCCGGAACATCTGAGATCATCCCCGGTTTTTGGATGGGTTCGTGTTGCTCAGTCTGGTTTTCTATATTGTGTTTTGTATAATGTTTTGTCATTTGATCGTTTTTCATTTTTCCCATGGCATTGCCAGTTTGTTTTCGACTTATGAATTTGAATATCCCTTTGGCATCTTTCACCTCTCTTTTTCCTCACGATGTTTCCTTATGAAGTAGCAACTATATTCCTTTGGTCTCTGGTGGATATGCTAGTTGTATCAGTGGAAACCATACCAAATATCCTAATGTTTAATAAAAGCAAGTTAAAACAAGGCTCAATGTGTCAGTCTAGTACAAAGCATGGTTCATTTTCGTATCACAACACAGTATTTTACGGTTTACTTTTTCAGAAGTATGTTTGTTCTATATGCTCTGTGGTATATATGTCTGTTTCGTATGTTCATTCTGTATGTTGTATAGTATTTTACGGTTTACTTTTTCAGAAGTATGTTTGTTCTGCATGTTCTGTGGTATATATGCTTGTTTCGTATGTTCATTCTGTATGTTGTATAGTATTTTTCGGTTTACCTTTTCAGGAGTATTTTTGTTCTGCATGTTCTGTGGTATATTATAGGATTAAACGCCTTTTTAAAGGAATTTATTGGTGTATAAACTCGACCAATTCACTCACAAACAAATAAAAGTCCGAAGGACTTTACGATATGTTTGTGAGTGACTTGGTACAGTTTATACACCAATTAATTCCTTTAAAAAGGCGTTTAATCCTTAAAATTCATTAAAATTGGAGATCAGGAATTTATTTTTCCACACTCGTAACCTCTATCACACGTAAATTGTATATTTGTGTCATTGAATAGGCCTGGCGCATGAATATATTTGTTGGTTAACGCAAAAATATGTACTCCATGAAATTTGCAATCTGATAAAAAAATAAACTACAAAAACTCTTATTATCATTCAAACCAATGTTTTGTGTTTATCATTTAATATAACTATTAAGACCTATTAACGCGAATTGAAAATAAATTTTGTTAACGTCGATCCGGATTGTGTCATTATCGCCGCCATCTTGTTTACATTGGTTACGAAAAGAAGTTCGGTCAACGTCGTCTATCGAAAAATAAACAACGTCAAGAACAACTACCGGAAGTCCTTTTAAACCAATCATATCAACGTATTCCCTTATATGCAAATCATATAAGAATTATATGCGTGTATTGTATTTCATTCTGTATGTTGTATAGTTTTTTACGATTTACTTCTTCAGGTGTATGTTGGTTCTGTGTGCTGTGTGGTATATATGACTATTTCGTTTGTTCGTTCTGTATGTTGTATAGTATTTTACGATATACTTTACCAAGAGTATGTTTGTTCTATATGATCTGTCGTATATATGACTGTTTCATATGTTCATGCTGTATGTTGTATAGTAGTTTACGGTTTACTTTTTCAGGTGTATGAAATTTGTTCTGCGTGCTTTGTAGTATATATATATATGACTGTTTCGTTTGTTCATTCTGTGTGTTGTATAGTATTTTACGGTTTATCTTTTCAGGAGTATGTTTGTTCTGTATTCTCTGTGGTATGTATGCGTGTTTCGTATGTTCATTCTGTATGTTGTATAGTATTTTACGATATACTTTATCAGGAGTATGTTTGTTCTATATGCTCTGTGGTATATATGACTGTTTCGTATACTCATTCTGTATGTTGTATGGTATTTTACGGTTAACGTTTTCAGGAGAACGTTGGTTCTGCATGCTCTGTGGTATAAACGCTTGTTTCGTATGTTCATTCTGTATATTGTATGGTATTTTACGGTTTATTTTTTCAGGAGTATGTTTGTTTTTTGCATGCTCTGTGGTATATATGCTTGTTTCGTATATTCATTCTGTATGTTGTATGGTATTTTACGGTTTAGTTTTGTAGGAGTATGTTTGTTCTGTATTCTCTGTGGTATGTATGCGTGTTTCGTATGTTCATTCTGTATGTTGTATAGTATTTCACGATATACTTTATCAGGAGTATGTTTGTTCTATATGCTCTGTGGTATATATGACTGTTTCTTATGTTCATTCTGTATGTTGTATAGTAGTTTACGGTTTACTTTATCAGGAGTATGTTTGTTCTATATGCTCTGTGGTATATATGACTGTTTCGTATGTCCATGCTGTATGTTGTATAGTAGTTTACGGTTTACTTTTTCAGTTGTATGAAATTTGTTCTACGTGCTCTGTAGTATATATGACTGTTTCGTGTGTTCATTCTGTGTGTTATATAGTATTTTACGGTTTATCTTTTCAGGAGTATGTTTGTTCTGTATGCTCTGTGGTATGTATGCGTGTTTCGTATGTTCATTCTTTATGTTGTATAGTATTTTACGATATACTTTATCAGGAGTATGTTTGTTCTATATGCTCTGTGGTATATATGACTGTTTCGTATGTTCATTCTATATGTTGTATGGTATTTCACGGTTTACGTTTTCAGGAGTATGTTTGTTCTGCATGTTCTGTGGTATATATGCTTGTTTCGTATGTTTATTTTGTATCTTGTATGGTATTTTACGGTTTATTTTTTCAGGAGTATGTTTGTTCTGTATTCTCTGTGGTATGTGTGCGTGTTTCGTATGTTCATTCTGTATGTTGAATAGTATTTTACGATATACTTTATCAGGAGTATGTTTGTTCTATATGCTCTGTGATATATATGACTGTTCGTTTGTTCATTCTGTATGTTGTATAGTATTTTACGTTTTTTTTTCTCAGTAGTATGCTTGTTCTGTATTCTCTGTGGTATATATGACTGTTTTGTATGTTCATTCTGTATGTTGTATATTATTTTACGATTTACTTTTTCAGGAATATGTTTGTACTCTATGCTATGTGGTAGGTTACCGTATCGTGACGACGATATCGATATCCTCAGGTGCTGCATGTCAGAAAAGTTACACTTCTTCAAATATATTTCCAAAGGTGGGTGAATTATTTTGTATTGCTTGATAAATGTAATTACAAAATCATCTCTAAGCTCACGTCACCCGAAATGGACCCCTTAACAGCCGTGTCATATGACAATGAGTAAGGATTATCTAGTTTCCTGCATATCGACGTGTACCGATCATCAGATTTTCGTATAAGATAGTGTTAGAATTTAAGCTTTGCTGATCACAATATTGGGCTTTTTGGTGAGTGGTCTCCTTGGTCGATCTAAACTTTATTTAAAAGTCTAAAGAAGATCGATTCATGATTAATTTGATTAGTTTCAGGTTTAAGGAATTTAAATGCTAATATATTCAAAGTTGTTAACCAGCATGTGGACTAAAGGTTTTAATGTCAAATTATGTTCCGCTCAAAGAAAAAAAAATACCGTTATGATTAGAATGAACAAAAAAAAGACAAATGGAGTCTTGAAACTATCTTTTATTCTTCTTTGAATTGACTATGACATATGTCAATAAGAGTAGAAAACTTTGCAAATTACAGATTTTCGGTTTAAAATTTTGCAATAGATATATTTGTTAACAAAACATTTACAGCGTAAAGTTTTATAATTTTAAAACTCCTCACTTTGAATTTTCTTCAAAACCAGTGGACAACAGAGTTCGAATTTTTGTTCTTGAAATGCATTCTTTCAGATTTGTTTTCAAAATGTCACATGATAATCTTTGGTATTTTAGTCTCAAATTTTACAAATTTATAACCTGTCCTTTTTCGACATCTTAATCTTTTTTAACAAAATAGTTTTAGAAATTTTCTAGGAATTTCAGGAAAAAAAACTCCCCACCAAAAATTAAAGTAATGATTTGGATCAGTTGATGCAAGGTTTCTTATACGCACAGAAAACCAGCATCAGGCTCCAATTAGGCCGGGTTTTTTTTCTTCTTTTTTTGTCAAGTAAAATTTTCAAAACAGCCAACCAGAAAGTAAAACACACATATACAAACAAAAACCAACCATAACCTAAACATGTCATACACTATTTGGAGTCAGTGAAGGGGAGATAATAACTAGCATCTTGTTTTGGCTATGTACGTTCTTCTTTTGACTTCGATCAAGTTTTAAGTGTTATGAAATCATAAGTATGCCATTTCATTTTTCTCATTTATTCACTCACAAAAGTAGATAAAACCACTTTGTCTACATTATTGCCGAAATTTCTTGTTTTAAAAATAATAACCAAAACAAAAATCAATGTTTATCATGCGTTTCTGGAACAACCTTCAAGAACACTAAAGACAAAAAGTTTGGAAAAACTACTAAATATGAGTTCGATTTTCTCGAAAACTAGCACAGTATTGTATGATTTAATTTGTGATTTTCTGTGATGTACACCAAATATTTTACAGGTACTGCTACTTGGTCGGTACCGCTGGTGGGGGACTGTCACTGTATCAGTTCACGAGGATACCATCAGCATAGTAGCGTATGCTTCGGTATCGACTTGAATTAAATGATACATTGTGTCTGTAGATTTCCAGTTAATTATATTATTTGATTATTCAAATGTAAAAGTTCATGTTACAACTTCACCTTAGACGGTTTACGCTGTAATGTTCCTTCCCTTTTTGGTTTTTGTGCTCTCTAACATTTCATATTTTTGGCTTCAAAACTTTTGGTCTCAAGCGTACCTGGTGAATCAGATGATACATATTATCTGTATTCGACGGTTAAATTTCGCAATTTTCTTTTCCCGTGTTTTATTTTTTGTTATTATGTGTCATAATTATCAAAATTAGTAACAACGGGATATTGAACGTGCGTCGCGCTAATATCTATCTCCCTGTAAAAGTATTGAGTATTGAAAAAGAACAAAATGGCTGGCATCGTAGAAATAGTTTTATTTATAAAAAAAAAAAGTACTATGTACGGACGGAACTTTTATTATTTCAACATCCATGCAATCAAGGATGTTAATAACGCACATCATCAGATTCATTTCATATCTCTGGATATTAGCTACAACTGAAAGATATTTATCTGCGTATAAAGGTGAAATAAATATATATATACATACGAAATTGATAGCACTTTTATATGCTGTTGATTAAGCAATTTGTCAATAGCCACATAAAAAAAGTTTTATTCTTTTTTTTCTTCATTACCTTCACGACTTTTATACGATAACACAATTTACTTGGTTTTATTACAATATTTGAGATCGTTATTTTTCCTAAGAAAATAGTTATTTCATAATGAGAAATGCCATATCTGCAGATAATGTATGATAGAAAAATAAGTAAACATAACTATAGAAGCATAACTAGAAGTCAACATACGCAAAACTACAGAGGAAACAAATTGCCTGGTTACAGTTATTAAATAAAATGAAACAAAAATACTGACGACAACCAACGACAGCCACTGGACTTAAAGCTCCTGGATATTGAGATCAGGCAAACACAAAGAATGTGACGGGAATAAACATGCTTGTGACGGCTCAACTCCCCTTACCTCATATAGCGATGCAACAGCTTAATACCAGAGCAAGTGGTAAAAAACAGCCGAAAAGTGCTTGATTCATCAAAACAACTAACAAAATGACACAAAATACCGATTTACGAGTATTCGTGGTCGCCAAAAGCCATTCCAGAGTAAAACTTCATATAAATGCTTAACCGATAACCTCTAAGAGTTTGTTTAACCAATTTACCAACAGTTCCGCGTGAATCATCCAGCTCGTTGAGCAACATCAACGACGAACGTAAACATTTATTGAAGCTTACATATTAGTGACAAATTTTCAAATTTTGACTAATTTGGTTAAATGTTTAATTTTAGGATCAGTTTAATGTGGATTAAATCAGCTTGTCTTTTGTCGTCTTCAATTTTTACTAAAATCGTTCTTGGTTTATTTTCTTTCAGATGGTCGGGATTTGATAAAGCAGATGTTGAATATCGAACCAGGGAAACGTCCATCAATATCCTCCATATACAAACACAGGTGGATGTGTAAACCTCTAAAAGGAACAGGAGATTCATTTGTATCAGCTATGGCTATGAAGGCTGGTAAGTGTTAACCTCTATAAGGAACAGGAGATTCATCTGTGTCAGATATGTCTATGAAGGCTGGTAAGTGTAAACCTCTAAAATGAACAGGAGAATCATCTGTGTCAGCTATGGCTATGAAGGCTGGTCAGTGTAAACCTCTCAATGGAACAGGAGATTGCTCTGTTTCAGTTATGATAATGAAGGTTGGTAAGTGTTAACCTCTAAAGGGAACAGGAGATTGGTCTGTTTCGGTTATGACAATGAAGGCTGGTAAGTGTAAACCGCTGAAAGGAACAGGAGATTCTTCTGTGTCAGCTATGGCTATAAAGGCCGGTAAGTGTAAACCTATCAAGGGAACAGGAGATTCTTCTGTGTAAGCTATAGCTATGAAGGCTGGTAAGCACCGAGTTATAAAATTGCCCAATGTCAAGTAACATTATTGTTTTTATGTCTTAAAACAAATTCAGTGTGATTCAGTATTGTGTTATTTTATATGAATATGAGGCAAAGACAGAGTCATACGCTAAAGTAAATACACATAATGGAAATACTGTTCCATAGATAAAATACAACTTTTTTTATGGTAAAAGGTGGGTTGACATGTCGATTGAAAGTGAAAGAAGGAAAATTTGAGGTAAAAGATGTTTGGAATAAACAGGCGAAAGGAAATAGTATAATTCTAATAAAAAAAGATGAAAAGTACATGGTTTCTGAGGTAATCCTTACATAGTAAACCCAAATCCGAGCAAGCAAAATAGTTGTTAACGTTGGTTGATGCTGTTTCAAGGTAAATTATATTTCAACATATATTCGAATGGTCTGGACAGTTAGGCACCGACCATTCATCTATTATTAGGAGAGGGCATTGTTTGTTTTTGAATAAATGGTATGATGTCTCGAAAAAAAAAGATTTCACTAAGAAAATTATTTTCTATCGAAAAAAGTTGAAACAAATAAAAAAAATGATTTAAATAGATCTTGTCTCTTTATATTATTTTGAATAATAGTTATTTTTTTCAAAGTTGATAAAAATTGTTTATCCCAAGAAAAGACCCATCCCTCAATAAAAAGATGAATGGTCGGTGCCTCCTTACATGAGGGTGGTTAAGGGTTATTTTCATGCAACATGTTTTGCCATTTTTATTTCACGTGCAGCCGTGAAAAAAGGTTCGTTATTCACCGTGTTTCGTGAAATCGATAAAAAGATCAACGTGCAAGAAATTTTTAATTGTTCGTTCATCGTGAAATGGCAATTTTATTTCGCGTTCTTCCGTGCAGATACCCCTTTACATGTGTGAAGTGTAAAGTTCTCATTCTTGTACCGGTATATCACATCTACAGTAAGGTACGAGTCTTAAGACGTATTTACATTTGATAGAATTTGCCAGTTACTTGACGATAGTTATATTCATACATTTTTTTCTTTTAAGTTACCGAAAACCATGTGGATATTGATACATCTGCTGAACATGGTTTCAACTGTGACCAACATAGTAATATAGTTAGATTGTCACGTGTTAAGGATGTTTTATCAGCTGTTGCAGCGGTTCACGGGTAAGCTATCAGTATTGCATGTTACTTTGATTTCAATATTTTAGTTACCATATTTTGAGTCAAATTGGTGAACATGAATTTGAAAGTTAATCCCCCTTTAAAAGATCAATTAGTCAGTTCTTTCTGCCATAAGAAAATGGTACTGACATCTAGAATGTATGTAAGTCGTGTCTTAATTACAGTTGCTTTATCGGATCATGTAATACGAACCTTTTTAAAGTGTAATAGTTTATTAGTGTAATGGATAAAACAAAGTCTGTTCGGTCAAGTAAGACTGACACACATGATAGGGGACATAGTAGTCAATATGAAACTGAAACTGAAGATAATGAAACCAATACTATCCACACAACTGATGACGAAACCTCGACGAAACATGTCATTCTGAACGTGAACATCAAGTTTATGAAGCTAGTCATGACTTGTCCAACATAGAGACTGAAGAAGAAATAATCAACTCTTATATGTTACTTTTAACAAACGCCTATACTAACCAGATCATATCTTGTCATTTGACTCAAATTCTCATATTTGATTTATAATCTACTAAAACGAATATCCAACTTACAAAAAGTCTAAAATGAACAATTAACCATGCATGGACTCGATAATATGTATCACATTTCGTGTGAATTTTAGTCTAGACACCATCTAATTAACCATCGAGGTGACCTCCGACGAATGCCGACAGTAACATAACCCAATATAGATTTAAATATAGATATAAATAGATAGATTGCGAAAACGTGCAATTGGATTTTTTCTAGGTCTGTTAGATTTCATATTATAGGTTAAACAAATATGTTAATCATCGTTTTTACCTGTAATAGAATGAGTTTTTGTTAACTAAAAGTTTACCTTTGTTTCACTTTCAATGTTGGCATTCTTTTCCTTTTAATAGATGAACACGCCTAGTTCATGCGTAACCCATCTAAGGGGTTAACTAGAAGGTCACATGAATACGGATTCAATGAGGTCGAATTATTCTCTTGCCAGTGAATAATTCATCAGCAATGTTTCTTAGCTTATTTTGACAAAATTGAACCAAACTGGCTGCTAAAAGCGAATTATTATTTCACTATTTCACTTTCATTAATGATTGAACATATTTTTTCATATATCTCGTAGTTAATGACCTTTAACTGGTGATAATTTTTCATGAAAAGCCATGGCTTTTATGCTTCAATAACCCTGATAAGGCTGAAATAATATCATTATTGTTTCACGTAAATTTTATATAGAGGTTCTGCAAAAGGAAATCACGAATACACCAACATTCCAACTGACTAATTTTCAGAAAATGACATGTCATCTGTAACAAACATAAACTTTTAGCTACATCTTTACAAGCAGAACCGAATAACATGAAAGTTCCAACTATGTAACGCGTATTGTTGTGTGTTTGTTTATTCCACATTGGCTAGAGGTAAAAGGGGAGGGTTGAGATCTCACAAAACATTTTTGACTCGCCGCATTTTTGCACCTGTCCCAAGTCTGTAACCTGTGGCCTTTGTTAGTCTTTTGTATTTTTTTTTAAATTTGTTTTTTTGTATGTTTCGGAGTTTAGTGTGACGTCCATTTTCTCTGAACTATTATATATTATTGTTTAGGGGCTAGCTGAAGCCCGCCTCCGGGTCCGGTATTTTCTCGCTGTGTTGAAGACCCATTGGTGGCCTTGGGCTGTTTTCTGCTCTTTGGTCAGATTGTTGTCTCTTTGACACATTCCCCGTTTCAATTCTCAATTTTATTCAGTAGTTTTAGATGGAGCAATAATAATTATCAATTTCTATTTCAAAACCAGTAGACTACGCTTTTCCTGGTGTCTCTTTTAGACTAGCTTTCAGCAATTACGACTTGTTTCAATAAGTGTAGAAAAAAATCCGTATGGTTCATTTTCTGAATAAGATTAGAATAGATAAAGCACTCATCATGTATGCATTGCTTACCTTCAAACGTGACGTATCAGTCAAAACTGCAGCCAGAGAGAAAGAGTTGTCGTGTCGAATTTCAAATAAAAGTTCAACACTGTTTTATGCGTTGCAATTACTCAGAAAAAGTTAATAATATAAAAAAGAAGATGCGGTATGATTGCCAAAGTGACAACTCTCCATCAGAAACTAAATAACGTAGAAGTTAGCAACTATATGTCACCGTAACGTCTATAACAACGAGCAAAAACAATACGGCATAACAAGCTATAAAAGGCCCCGAAATGACTAATGTAAAACAATTCAAACAAACGAGAAAACTAACGGCCTGATTTATGTTCGAAACAATAAACAAATATTAAATCATTCGAAGATCAGAGGAAAAATTACCATTCACGTTACAAATATTATATACAGTAAATAAACGACAACCACTGAATTACAGGCTCATGACTTGGGACATGCACATTCATAATATGGCGGGGTTAAATATGTTTGCGGACGCCCAACCCTCCCACTAACTTGAGACATTGGTGTAACCTGGGTGTAACAGCACAACATAAGAACACACTATAAAAATCAGTTGAAAAGAGTTTAACTCATTAGATCGATGCAAAGCATAAAAACAACTATCAAAAACACAAAAGACACAAAGTACAGGTCTGAGAGTACTTGCAGTTACGAAAGGCAAAGCCAATAACAACTTATATATCATATGTCTAAGACTAAAATAACTAGTCTATGATATTGTCCATATCTTTTATAGCACTGGTACTAGTTCAGTTGACCTAACTAAAATTCCACAGATACCAGTTGATTCAGCAGCAGCATTTACAGGAGTTACTGGACCTGTTGGCAGAAAGTTAAGTGAGCAATTAATGGCAATTACTGAAGGTAAATACATAATACGCACGATGTAAACACAAGCACGTCTCGTCTGCATAAATGCAAATTAAAACAAATATGTTAAGGCATACTATGACCACGTTTATTAAAGTTGGCTGCATAAGTAAAAAAAACAATTTCATTCAAGAAGTCCTCAAGGGAATACATGCTTTAAAATTAGGGTACACGAGAGGCTTAAAATACTTAGACTGAAAGAAATTGAAATGAAAGGACTTGAAGTAGGAGTCCTCTATCGTATATGCAATTTTTTTATTGACTTGTAATTGAATTTAGTAATTCTAAAAGATTTTGTAATCAGTTTTTTTTTCTATTTTTTCAACTAATTATTCGTTATTCATTAATTTTCTTGGTAATCATTTTTATTCATAATTTTTAGTTTTATCATTGGGTATTCATTTAACACCAATATATAATACAGGATTGAAGATAATTAATGCATGCATGTACATGTTTATCATCAAGTTTTCACTAATGTAGAATAAGGTATATTGTTGAATTATTGTAGTATCCTTATGTATATGTTCTTTTAATTGTTATATATCCTGTTTTTTATCTCCATCAATACAATTTAAACTTTGAAATGACTTAACAGGTTCAGCTCTTGATATTACTCCAAAACAAAGACCTGGTGTTGGCGGAAACAAATTCAGCAATGCCGTCAAAACATTGAACAAATTCAAGAATGCAGCAAAAGTCATCACCGCTATGAACCGGTTCCGACGTGGTCCATTGACTTCTATTCTGAAAATGCCACAGGAAAAAGCATTGCATATAATAGCAGAGAAACATATTGAAGACACCGAACACGACAAGAAATTACTACACTCTTGTCTCGGTGGTAGAGTGGCTAAACAGTGTCTACAACAGAAACATGAAAAATATGAAATCCAAATGAAACCAGTACGAGAACATATTGAAAAGGTGAAAGAAGAAACCGAGAAAAAAGATTTGCTGTTCTCTACTGTTTGTCATTTAATACCTGATGCAGCAAACTCTGATAATGAATAAAATGTTAATCAAGTTACGGTGTTTTACAATTATAAGTTAGCCCTAGTTTATAACGGATCCCAAATTTTGTTTTGTCGGTTCCCGATGCTGGGTTCCAGAAAACGTGCCGTGCACAGCGTAATCGGTAGTTTAGTTTTCTCCCACTGGATCTATTCCACTACGTGTACTAATAACTATTTTACTCCCACTGGGTCAATACCATTATGTTTACTATTAACGATCCCCTAGGTAGTACCATCCTCCCAGTGGCAAAGGCGATATTTCTTTAAAGGAAGAATTTTGACCTTTTGAATACGAAAATAAAAAAGTATTATAAATCTTTCAAATAACATCCATTGTTATGTTCATAAGATTGTTGGACATCAGTATTTATATTTTGGAATGTTGTCTTGCGTATTGGCATTAGTGCTTCAAACATCTTACTCTTAGTGCAATACAGTAAAGTCGGCTAAAATATCTTCATTTTGATTCTTGTCATTACAACAACAGCTTAACCCAAAGAGCTATTTTGCTATAAAATGTATTTTTTAGGCTATAAAAGCTCTTGCTCATATACGTTCCTACCAAAAGCGCCTGTGGGTCAGGTGTCTTTTATTTGTATTTTTATGACTGGTACTATTTGTGACAATAGAAAGCTGTTCTGATCGCAATATGCACACTTCCGTATAGAAGACATCATGAGGCAACTTTTTTTTAATAAATGACTAAAATCTCTTGCCAATATTTTCAGTTTTAAAACCATAAGAAAGCGATTGGATATAAAATCGGCAACCATTTAGAGCTAATTTCCTAATGCTTGTAGAGTAAGACTTTGTTTAGCTTGCTTGCTTTGTTTGTTTATTGTATAATTATAATTAGGATAACGTCCAATCAAATTTAAATATAATGTATATAGGTTTAACTCAGCCTATCTATATTGCTTGCAGATTTCAATATTAATTACAATGCTTGAGCAAACGTTTATACAAACAAAGCAAGCAAGCCAACCAAAGTCTTACTCTACAAGCATTAGGAAATTAGCTCTAAAAATCGAATTTTTAATAACTGATTATGCTTCCCGAAAATTTTTTGGGAGCATATTGTCCGTCCATGTGTCCGAAACAAATAGTCTCCGATTGATTGGAATGAAACTAATAAAGATGGAAGAAACAGGACTCCAACAGGTCCAACACAACCTATATCTGGGTCTACAAATATCAGATGACTTAAAATGGACAACCCACATCTCAAAATGTAGCCAAGAAAGCCAAGTCAACACTCGGCTTTCTCTGATGCAATCTACGGTTCTGCCCTAAAAGACTAATAAAACATCTTACATCCACAATGAAATATGGGACAATAGTATGTGATCCATACACAACAGATAACATAAAACATTTAGAAAGGATCCAATGTATGGCTGTAAGATTCTTCTGAGGGTACTACAAATCTATAGAAGAAGGATCGGTTTTCAAAATAGATTTTTATGTCTAAGAGTCAAAGGTGAAGGTCAACTCTTGAAATAAAAATATTTTCTCAATAAATGTGGATTGTATACCGGTCACAATCAAGATGGTGAATCGTGAACAAGATTGGTCTGTTACCTAACATAGTTCACTACATTCGGAGAACTTGTGTACTATTTCTAAGAAAACTTTTCTACTATAAAATAAATAAGAAGTTTTGGTCCGATTGCCAATGCGACAACTATCCATGTGACGTAGATGAAAGCAGTCACCGTACGACCTTCAACAAAGAGCCAAACCCATACCGTATATCAAGCTACAAATGGTCTTAGGGTTGAGATCTCAAAAAACATGTTAAACCCCGCCGCATTTTTGCGCCTGTCCCAAGTCAGGAGCCTCTGTCCTTTGTTAGTCTTTATCATTTTTAATTTTAGTTTCTTGTGTATAATTTGGAGTTTAGTATGACGTCCATTATCACTGAACTAGTATACATATTTGTTTAGGGGCCAGCTGAAGGACGCCTCCGGGTGCGGGAGTTATCACTGCATTGAAGACCCATTGGTGGCCTTCGGCTGTTGTCTGCTCTATGGTCGGGTTGTTGTCTCTTTGACACATTCCCCATTTCCATCCTCAATTTTATGTACATGACAAAATGTTAAACAATTCAAACGAGAAAACAAACAACCCGAGTTATGTTCAAAACAATAATCGAAAAACAAATATGAAAGACAACCAATCAATTACAGACTCCAGACTTGGCATAGGTACATAAGAATATGGCGAGGTTAAACATGTTTCAGGCGCATTATCTCCCCTGGGACAGCAAAAGAAAATACGGAAAAAGCGGTTGAAAAGGTCTTTACTCATCATATCTACACAAAGTACAAAAACAACTAACAAAAAGAATAAAGACACAAAAAGTGCCAAACTAAAATAAGAATCAGTACACATCTAGTGGTTTTAGTGTAAAGACGTTATGAACAGTCCGAGAAAAAACATGACCTTCTGCAATGCCAAAATTAAAGTGTCGACAGGATGTAGGACCATAAGCATTCAATACATGTTTAGTTATGTTTTAATTTATTAATAATACACACTCAATGCTAGTATCGATAAAATAAATATTCAAAGATCTTATTACGATGTTAAATGACAGCCTTTTAGACTGATTGAATTCAAAGGATCAAACAGTTTTAATGGATCGTATCTAAATTTACGGGCTCTATAAATATCATTACCGTAAAAACTAGGATGAAATATCCTTTACGTAATAAGTTTTCTAAAGATTCAGCGAAGCAACTAAACCAAATTTTTTTTTCCTATGAAAGAATGTTGCATGTTGGCAATAACAGTTTGTGGATCAACATTAAAGTAATAGCTCTAAGTACGTACCTCAAAAGGGTTTGTTTTCGGCGGTTAATTGGTTTTGAAAATATCTATTTTACTGTTGTTAAACACTTATTTTTAAATGGAGCAGTAAAAAATAGTTTGTAGATGATTGACTTAACAATGATATACTGCACTATGTTCTTAAAGAGTAGTTGATCAGAATCAGGTAGTTCTATGTATATATGCACAGGGCATACAGTTAAGAAATGACTATTTCTAAAATTTCCCCAAAAAACTGGTATTTCAGTTATACTACTTGGCTTATTATTTTAACAGATCTACTATCACACAAACAATCCTTTTCATTGTATTTTAAAATATCAACAGGCTGGATGGTTCTCCGGCCGTTTTTTTATAAAATATTTCCCATACAAATCTACTCTCCTACAATGTTTTGCTAGTCAGCACGACAGTTCCATCAATAAAAATGTATATTACATATGTAACCATGTGTGATATTTGCTTTCGATAAGTGTTTTTGTTTCTCCCAACGATTCTCTACATCATGTTACTCAAAAGACTACAAATGACACAGGGCAGATGTACTGGTTAGCTGAGCAAATGCGAAGTATATAGCAAATAAATAAGTATTGCTCATGGAACCTTTCGGTCATGTTTGATATATTTTGTGCATTATAGAGTTCCCGTTAGTTCAAATGTAAAATAGTTCATCAGCCATGAGGGAGACTAACTTCTGAATTATATGACTGGAAACCAACACAATACTCCAAACAAAACACATTACAATGTACCGAAATTTATTAAATATTAGACTAAAACCAATCAAGATTTTCAAACAACAGCGCACTGCTACATACCGTTGGTTAATTTTGCTGTTTTAATGTCCCTTTTTGATCATATAGCTCTTAAAGTTTCTATGTTTATACATCCCTGGCTTTCAAATATTTGGGGTTGAGCCTTCCTGGTGAAGGTAAATCCAGAAAAACAAGCATTCTGAGAGTATTGCATGGCAATACATAGTCCCCTACCGTTAAAGAATTCATCGTACTGGAACAAAATGCTAACTTGATCTATAACTTGTCATGGTGTAAACTATATAACAAATCTCAAGTCAATATCTTCAAGCATGACAAAAAAAGTGTGGAAAACTGATTGAGTGAATTTTCTAAGTCCAATGACCATAACTCTGCACAAAATCATCAGACCAAAACAAAATTCAAACTTCATCTGTAACTTGTCATGATAAAACTATGAATCAATTATTTAATCAATATCTTTAAGCATGACAAAAATAGTGCGGAAAACTGATTATTTGAGTGAATTTTTTAAGTCCAAGGACCATAACTCTGCACAAAATCATCAGACCGGAACATAACTCGAACTTGATATGTAACTTGTCATTATAAAACTATATACCACATTTCAAATCAATATCTTCAAGCACGAAGAAAAAAAGTGTGGAAAACTGATTTGTGGGACTGACGGATGGACAGACAGACAGACAGACAGACAGACAGACAGACAGAGTGCAAACCTAAAGTAAAAATCCTTGGACGCATGAAATTCATACAGTGTTATTTTCATTTTCAGAGTAAACATTTTATGTTTGTAGATCCGATTAAACTGGCAGTCACGTGTATTGCCTGATATGGTCTTAAAAATGACATCCTATTTATCATTTCTGGTAGCAGTTTTGTTTAGATTGGCCATGAGACAAATTTCTGCCAGATATTAAATGATGTAGAAGTTGGTAACCAAAGTCACTGCACTGCATCAACAATGAGCATAACCCATACCACGTAGCAAGCAATAAAAGGTTTGACATGACAAAAATAAATCATTTTAAATTGATGGCACCCTCGTACCCTCATTGCCAGGATAACGGCAGCCATTTTGAAAATTCAACAGTCAAACAGCACATCTACACATGCCAAATAACATTTTTTCAAATTTTAATGAATTATGGAGCATTTTGAAATTTTTGACATTTATGCTGTTTCCATGGTAACAGTGGCTACTTCCAAAATTCAAAAAGCAGATTTAATGCATTTTCCCTTAGGGTCAATGTAAAACTTTCCCCCTGATTTATGCGCAAAACAATAAACCACTGAATCAGGTAGTTTCAAAGGAATCAATAAAAAAAAATCAATTCCCATACTGATCAATGAAACCTGTCGGTCATGTTTGCCATCTATGCTAAACTACCAATACCAAATGAAAA